GTATCGCCACTCTCACCAGTGGTTCTGAAGGGTTCATCTGTCCTGAATTCCCTGTTTCCAGTTGCTCTCTGTACCAGTGTACAACCGATGCAGTTTTTCGATGTTCTGAAAACTTCTTGCAAATAAGTCCTTGAGATCATCCTGTCTTTAAAAAAACATCCAGTGGAAGGGAACAGGTGCCAGGACGTGACCACTGTTGACACACAGTCAAGACGGCACCAAGGATGGATGCCGCCCAAGCGGCCTCTCTCTCACACGGCTCCACCCTGCCGTCAGGCTGGCCATTTTTTGTTTTAAACCAAGGTGGCATCTCCGGAGGCATGCCGGTTGCAGGGGGACTTCCTGGCGAACACTTATTCCCTTGTGGATTTAGGACTTGCATGACTCTAAGCTCCACTGCATCATGGAATCTGACCTCATGGTGTGACAGACAAGTAAATTGAGGTCCGGCAAAGGACATCGCTTTCCATTTGGGTCTTTTCAATAGCTAAGTCAGCCTGAGGGGCGCTCACCCCATCCATCTGTGCTTCCATTTGGAAATGCTATGCTCTTGCCCGGATCTGCAGGGAAGCCTTGTCTATTTTTAATGCCAAATAACTGCCTCTTCTCTTGTAAAACATGGCACTTCTAGCCACTCTATATTTGGACAGAGAAGTTTATTTTTACTGGAGTGTGGTAGAAGCAGGACTGGTGCCCTGTCCGGATGTTATTCTACATTTCACATGCTGGGTTGGAGTTGAGTCCATGAAGCAGCTCCCATTAAGGAACTCCTCCGGGGTACAAAGGACCTGAGGTGGCACCGTGGCTAAGCGTTTGGCTGCTACCCAGAAGTTGGCAGTTGGAACCCACTTGTCACTCTGCGGGAGGACAGGCCAGGTGACCTTTCTCTGTAAAAACATCACAGCCTGGGGAGCCCTGCGGGGCAGTTCTACTTGGTCCTCTGGGTACCTCGAATCAGAATGGATTCTACAGCCCATGCGACAGCTCACACACACACACACACACACACACACACACACACACTGCATGTTTGCATGTTATCAGAAGGGAGCAAGTTCCTGGAAAAGAAGTCCGTGCTTGGTAGAGGGACAGCAGCAAAGAGGAAGACCCTCACCAAGATGGATTGACACAGTGGCTCCTGAATGGGCTCAAATAGCAATGACCAGCTGTGAGGCTCGTGCGGGGCCAGGCAGTGTTCTGTCCTGTTCTACAGAGTCGCTGTGAATCGGAACCAACTTGATGGCCCCTAAGTAACAACAGAACGAGGTGTGCAGGGGAGCAGAGCATGATCAGGAATGGCGATAGTTTTCAAGCCAGGCGTCCTCAAACTACGGCCTGCGGGCGAGGGCATTTATCCGGCCCGCTGGGTTTTTGCCCCGTTTGTTTTTTTACTTCAAAATAAGATACGTGCAGTGTGCATAGAAATTTGTTCATAGTTTTGTTTTGTTTTTAAACTATAGTCCGGCCCTCCAACGGGTCTGAGGGACAGTGAACTGGCCCCGTTTAAAACGTTTGAGGACCCCTGTTTCAAGCCATCTGCCTCTACCTTATGTAAGGCTCTCTAGCGCTTACATGTCCAGCCAGGAACCCCGGAGCTCACATGGACCACCTCCCTCGCCGCCGCCTCTTTCCCAGGCCCCATCCAGAGGCAGTGCGGTGAGGTTAGTCACAGCAGTCAGGGTTTCAAGCCTGGTTCTGCTGCTTCCTAGCTTTTCTGGGCTTCCTTTTTCTCCTTCATTAGAGACGGTCACCCACGGCTGCGGTGGAAAATTGAACTCTGTCCACGGAATTCTGTCGGTGGCCTTGGTTCCTGAGAGATAAC